GAAAAAAATCCCAAAAATCTGGTTTTCAAAAATTACTTGGGGATTTGAATTCGTCCCATTAATTCCTTTATAAAAGTTACAATTGTAAACCTTCGTTAATCTGAATAGTACACATACATGCATAATTTTTCTGTTTAATAGTTTTGGTTAATGTTTGTGAAAATAAAATATCGTAAACAAGCATATTTAACTACATTATATTGTTTATAATATAAATAAGATAAATTTGACAATAAATTTAAATATAAATAGAGTAATAAACCAAACAACCACACAAACACACACGCACATAATTAGATATAAACCCTGCAGTTCGGGATGAGATGTCTCGACTCAGATACGCTTACACTTTGGCGAGATAATTCAGTTTCAGTAGCAAACCATTTCTGCACAGTACTGTTAACTACAAATGCATTGTATTTTCCTAAAACTGCTGGTTTAATACAATTCGCTATAGAGAACAAATATAAATAATGTGACCTCAATTGTATGACAGTAATAATGTTTGTTTTACATTTTTTTTTCATTCTATCTAACAGTTTTTTGGATATTTTTCAACAAAGCCAAATGCAAAAAACAGACAATAGAAACAATACAAAAGCTTGTTGATTAATTTGCAATTATGTAAAATACAAAAAAAAAAAAACAAGATTAACAATACGAAGTCTGTGTACAAAAGTTTTATGTTTTTTCAGAGCTCACAGGAAGATATCGAAAAGTAAATACAAGTATTATTTTCCCAGTGAATCAAGCGATACTTTTGATTCTATAATTAAGGCACTAGACCTGGGTCAAGATTATTTAAGTCTGAAGTCTCGTCTATGAACCAAGCTATTGCTTTATCTTTAGACTTGTCTATAGTCAAGACTATAGTCTATACTATAGACTTGTCTATAGTCAAGACTGTGGTCTATACTATAGACTTGTCTATAGTCAAGACTATAGTCTATACTATAGACTTGTCTATAGTCAAGACTATAGTCTATACTATAGACTTGTCTATAGTCAAGACTATAGTCTATACTATAGACTTGTCAATAGTCAAGACTATAGTCTATACTATAGACTTGTCTATAGTCAAGACTATAGTCTATACTACAGACTTGTCTATAGTCAAGACTATAGTCTATACTATAGACTTGTCTATAGTCAAGACTATAGTCTATACTATAGACTTGTCTATAGTCAAGACTATAGTCTATACTATAGACTTGTCTATAGTCAAGACTATAGTCTATACTATAGACCTGTCTATAGTCAAGACTATAGTCTATACTATAGACTTGTCTATAGTCAAGACTATAGTCTATACTATAGACTTGTCTATAGTCAAGACTATAGTCTATACTATAGACTTGTCTATAGTCAAGACTATAGTCTATACTATAGACTTGTCTATAGTCAAGACTATAGTCTATACAATAGAATGTCTATAGTCAAGACTATAGTCTATACCATAGAATTGTCTATAGTTAAGACTATAGTCTATACCATAGAATTGTCTATAGTTAAGTCTATAGTCTATACCATAGAATTGTCTATAGTCAAGACTATAGTCTATACTATAGACTTGTCTATAGTCAAGACTATAGTCTATACTATAGACTTGTCTATAGTCAAGACTATAGTCTATACTATAGACTTGTCTATAGTCAAGACTATAGTCTATACTATAGACTTGTCTATAGTCAAGACTATAGTCTATACTATAGACTTGTCTATAGTCAAGACTATAGTCTATACTATAGACTTGTCTATAGCAAGACTATAGATCTATACTATAGACTTGTCTATAGTCAAGACTATAGTCTATACTATATACTTGTCTATAGGTCAAGACTATAGTCTATACTATATACTTGTCTATAGTCAAGACTATAGTCTATACTATAGACTTGTCTATAGTCAAGACTATAGTCTATACTATAGACTTGTCTATAGTCAAGACTATAGTCTATACTATAGACTTGTCTATAGTCAAGACTATAGTCTATACTATAGACTTGTCTATAGTCAAGACTATAGTCTATACTATAGACTTGTCTATAGTCAAGACTATAGTCTATACTATAGACTTGTCTATAGTCAAGACTATAGTCTATACTATAGACTTGTCTATAGTCAAGACTATAGTCTATACTATAGACTTGTCTATAGTCAAGACTATAGTCTATACTATAGACTTGTCTATAGTCAAGACTATAGTCTATACTATAGACTTGTCTATAGTCAAGACTATAGTCTATACTATAGGACGTGTCTATAGTCAAGACTATAGTCTATACTATAGACTTGTCTATAGTCAAGACTATAGTCTATACTAGACTTTTCTATAGTCAAGACTATAGTCTATACTATAGACTTGTCTATAGTCAAGACTATTAGTCTATACTATAGACTTGTCTATAGTCAAGACTATAGTCTATACTATAGACTTGTCTATAGTCAAGACTATAGTCTATACTATAGACTTGTCTATAGTCAAGACTATAGTCTATACTATAGACTTGTCTATAGTCAAGACTATAGTCTATACTATAGACTTGTCTATAGTCAAGACTATAGTCTATACTATAGACTTGTCTATAGTCAAGACTATAGTCTATACTATAGACTTGTCTATTAGTCAGGACTATAGTCATACTTAGACTTGTCTATAGTCAAGACTATAGTCTATACTATAGGACTTGTCTATAGTCAAGACTATAGTCTATACTATAGACTTGTCTATAGTCAAGACTATAGTCTATACTATAGACTTGTCTATAGTCCAAGACATCTATACTATGGACTTGTCCTATAGTGCAAGACTATAGTCTACTATAGACTTGTCTATAGTCAAGACTATAGTCTATACTATAGACTTGTCTATCGTCAAGACTATAGTCTATACTATAGACTTGTCTATAGTCAAGACTATAGTCTATACTATAGACTTGTCTATAGTCAAGACTATAGTCTATACTATAGACTTGTCTATAGTCAAGACTATAGTCTATTCTATAGACTTGTCTATAGTCAAGACTATAGTCTATACTATAGACTGTCTATAGTCAAGACTATAGTCTATACTATAGACTTGTCTATAGTCAAGACTATAGTCTATACTATAGACTTGTCTATAGTCAAGACTATAGTCTATACTATAGACTTGTCTATAGTCAAGACTATAGTCTATACTATAGACTTGTCTCTAGTCAAGACTATAGTCTATACCTATAGACTTGTCTATAGTCAAGACTATAGTCTATAGTATAGACTTGTCTATAGTCAAGACTATAGTCTATACTATAGACTTGTCTATAGTCAAGACTATAGTCTATACTATAGACTTGTCTATAGTATAGACTATAGTCAAGACTATAGTCTATACTATAGACTTGTCCATAGTCAAGACTATAGTCTATACTATAGACTTGTCTATAGTCTAGACTATTGACTTGTCTATAGTCAACGCCATAGCTTACACTATAGACTTGTCTTTAGTCAAGACTATAGTTTACACTATAGACTTGTCTATAGTCAAGACTATAGTTTACACTATAGACTTTTGTATAGTCAAGACTATAGTTTACACTATAAACTTATCTATAGTCAAGACTATAGTTTACACTATAGACTTGTCTATAGTCAAGACTATAGTTTATACTATAGACTTGTCTATAGTCAAGACTATAGTTAACACTATAGACTTGTCTATAGTCAAGACTATAGTTTACACTAGACTGTCTATAGTCAGACTATAGTTTACACTATAGACTTGTCTATAGTCAAGACTATAGTTTACACTATAGACTTGTCTATAGTCAAGACTATAGTTTACACTATAGACTTGTCTATAGTCAAGATTACAGTTTACACTATAGGCTTGTTTATAGTCAAGACTATAGTTTACACTATAGGCTTGTTTATAGTCAATACTATAGTCTTGTCTTTAGTTTATACTATAGTCTTGTCTTTAGTCTATACTATAGACTTGTCTATAGTCTATACTGTAGACTTGTCTATAGTCAAGACTATAGTCTATATTATAGACTTGACTGTAGTCAAGACTATAGTCTATACTATAGGCTTGTCTATATTATATACTATAGTCTTGACTATAGACTTTAGCATTGTCTACAGTAAATACTATAGTCTAAGGGCCTTATTCACAAACTTTTATCAAAGGTTTGTAAATCAAATTTTCCTACAAAATTTGTTCTATAAACCTTTGATAAATGTTTATGATTAAGGCAGTATATGTCTAGGCTTGTCCTATATTCAAGTCTATAGTCTATACTACAAAGTTTTCTATAGTTAAGACTATAATCTATACTTAAGACTAGAGACATACTTGTCTTGTCTGTAGTGTCTCTAGACTGATGTATATTTAAGAGCTTGTACTGGTCTCAGAATATGGACTGGTCTATGATCAAGACTATAGACCAATCTATTGTCAAAACTGTAGACTGGTCTATATTAAAGAATATGGATCTATAGTCAATACTATGACTGGTTTTTTATGCATTTCAAATGCAAAATATTCTCTAGTGGTGTCGATAGTACAATTATGTTTGCTGCCTGTGAATATTTTTTAAATTTCTGTTTAAATAACTTTAATTTATTTTAAAATAATCTTTATGTCAAATAAAAATAACAAATTAAAAAATGTCCATTGAAATTCAAATAAATTTTATTACTTTAATAAAAAACTCACATCAAATAATTTCTAATTTCTAAACTACTAAAAGGTACATGACAATAAATAATTTAGTTAAATACATTTTTTTTATTATTTTCAAACAAAATTCGTTGTAACGTTTAAAAAACATTTATAGAAAATAATTACAAATTTATTGCTGTAACTGCAACAATAATAAACCAATTTATAATTTTTGTTTTTATAACAATTTTATTACTCTCGTTTATTTCCTGTTCTTTCATATTTTTTCTGCTATTTTGGAGTTAAGAGTTAATAAAAAGAAAAACATATTTTTATTATTTTCCATATTTTGCAGTTTAATACAACGTGATACGAGACCCACACCAATTATCAATTGTCGCATGGGCAGTGGGAAACACACGAGAAATGCATCGCCAGCACCTGATCATCGTACAGAGGCACGTTTACGCATCGATCCGAAAGTGTTGGTATTTGTAGAGACAACGTATTCAGGATTGGGACGTGATATTGCAGAATTACTTGTTTACAAATCGAATAAAGTAAGTAAAACATGAGACAAACAATAGAAAATATTTTATTTATTTTTTCATTTAATTGGTTTTTAAAATGCCAAAAGTGTTTTGGGGATTTGTACATAAATACATACATACGTTTGTAGTTACAATTACCTGAAATATTTTGGTAGAGTTTATTGGTAATAAAATATTTTTTATTTACATATTTTAATTCCGCTTGAATTCAGAGGGGAGAGACCTTTAGGCGCCCACTTAATTTTATACTTGATTGATTAATTTCTTTTTATTATCAACATTATTTCATAATTATAGTCTCAATTGTGGTTTATAATGGAAACGGAAGCTGTTACTTTTTTCTTGTGTATGAATATTTATTTAGGTTTTTAGTATTTGTAAATTTGTACATAAATAAGGCCTCAAAGGATTTATTGCAATAATTATTTGCGGCTGTTTTAGAAAAAGAGGTGTAAGGTGTCGTTGTATTTGTATTTATTTAACTCTGTTTGTGGTTATAGGTTTTTGTGACAAATTAAACATACAAAACCTGGTCAACCTCTATATTCAGTACAAAGTACACTTTCAAATGTAATTGGTCAAACAATGTTTACAAAACAACAACAAAATAAATGAACATTATTAATGTTGTTGATGTGGAGTCATTAATTTTCCTAATGTCAAGCATTTTTTCTAAACAAAATGTTTGTTCAACCAGACAGTAAACTAAAACAAATTTATTCATTTATGTAGAAACTTTTCTATTAATTCTCTTGGTATAGAAAATCAAAAAAAAAACAAAAAACTCTTTTCTCTTTCGTTATATTTTATAGAAAAATTTCGAGAAAATTTCAAATAAAAATCTCTTTTTTAGAAAATTTTCTAGAGAATTTCATTTTTATAGAACATTTTCTAAAAAATTATCCTTTTTATATATTCGAGAAAATTCTCTTTTTATAGAAAATTCTCTTTTTTATAGAGAATTTTCGAGAAAATTTTTCTTTTTATAGAAATTTTTCGAGAAAATTCTTCTTTTTATAGAATATTTTCGAGAAAATTCTTCTTTTTATAGAACATTTTCGAGGAAATTCTTCTTTTTATAGAAAATTTTCGAGAAAATTCTTCTTTTTATAGAAAAATTTAATTTTATGGAAAATTTTTGAGAAAATTCTCCTTTTATAGAAAATTTTTGACAAAATTCAGCTTTTTATAAAAAATTTTCGAGAAAATTCTCCTTTTTATAGAAAATTTTCGATAAAATTCTCCTTTTTCTAGAAAGTTTTCGATAAAATTCTCCTTTTTATAGAAAATTTTCGATAAAATTCTCCTTTTTATAGAAAATTTTCGATAAAATTCTCCTTTTTATAGAAAATTTTCGATAAAATTCTCCTTTTTCTAGAAAATTTTCGATAAAATTCTCCTTTTTCTAGAAAATTTTCGATAAAATTCTCTTTTTATAGAAAAATTTCGACAAAATTCCCTTTTTATAGAAAATTTTAGAAAAAATTCTCTTTTTATAGAAAATTTTGAGAAAATTCTCCTTTCATAGAAAATTCTCTTTCTATGGAATATTTTCGAAAAATTCTCCTTTTATGGAAATTTTTTGAGAAAATTCTCTTTTATGGAAAATTTTCGAGAAAATTCTCCTTGTTATAGAAAATTTTCGTGAAAATTCTCTTTTATTTAGAAAATTTTCTAGAAAATTCTCTTTTTATAGACAGTTTTCCAGAAAATTCTCTTTTTTATAGAAAATTCTCTTCTCTTTTATGGAAAATTTTCGAGAAAATTCTCTTTTTATGAAAATTTTCGAGAAAATTCTCTTTTTATGGAAAATTTTCGAGAAAATTCTCTTTTTATGGAAAATTTTCGAGAAAATTCTCTTTTTATGGAAAATTTTCGAGAAAATTCTCTTTTTATAGAAAATTTCGAGAAAATTCTCTTTTTATGGAAAATTTTCGAGAAAATTCTCTTTTTGTGGAAAAATTTCGAGAAAATTCTCTTTTATGGAAAATTTTCGATAAAATTCTCTTTTTATGGAAAATTTTCGAGAAAATTCTCTTTTTATGGAAAATTTTCGAGAAAATTTTCTTTTTATGGAAAATTTTCGAGAAAATTCTCTTTTAATGGAAAATTTTGGAGAAAATTCTCTTTTTTTTTTAGAAAATTTTCGAGAAAATGCTCTTTCTTATAGAAAACTTTCGAGAAAATTCTCTTCTCTATAAAAAATTTTCGAGAAAATTCTCTTCTCTATAGAAAATTTTCGAGAAAATTCTCCTCTCTATAGAAAATTTTCGAGAAAATTCTCTTCTCTATAGAAAATTTTCGAAAAAATTCTCTTCTCTATAGAAAATTTTCGAGAAAATTCTCTTCTCTATAGAAAATTTTCGAGAAAATTCTCTTCTTTATAGAAAATTTTCGAGAAAATTCTCTTCTTTATAGAAAATTTTCGAGAAAATTCTCTTCTTTTAGAAAATTTTCGAGAAAATTCTCTTCTTTATAGAAAATTTTCGAGAAAATTCTCTTTTTTATAGAAAATTTTGGAAAAAATTCTCTTTTTATAGAAAATTTTGGAAAAAATTCTCTTTTTTATAGAAAATTTTGGAAAAAATTCTCTTTTTGTATAAAATTTTTGAGAAAATTCACTTTTTATATAAAATTTTCGTGAAAATTCACTTTTTTAGAAAATTTTCGATAAAATTCTCCTTTTTATAGAAAATTTTCGATAAAATTCTCCTTTTTCTAGAAAATTTTCGATAAAATTCTCCTTTTTCTAGAAAATTTTCGATAAAATTCTCCTTTTTCTAGAAAATTTTCGATAAAATTCTCTTTTTATAGAAAAATTTCGAGAAAATTCCCTTTTTATAGAAAATTTTAGAAAAAATTCTCTTTTTATAGAAAATTTTTGAGAAAATTCTCCTTTCATAGAAAATTCTCTTTCTATGGAATATTTTCGAAAAATTCTCTTTTTATGGAAATTTTTTGAGAAAATTCTCTTTTATGGAAAATTTTCGAGAAAATTCTCCTTGTTATAGAAAATTTTCGAGAAAATTCTCTTTTATTTAGAAATTTTCTAGAAAATTCTCTTTTTATAGACAGTTTTCCAGAAAATTCTCTTTTTTATAGAAAATTCTCTTTTTATGGAAAATTTTCGAGAAAATTCTCTTTTTATATGGAAATTTTCGAGAAAATTCTCTTTTTATGGAAAATTTTCGAGAAAATTCTCTTTTTATAGAAAATTTTCGAGAAAATTCTCTTTTTATGGAAAATTTTCGAGAAAATTCTCTTTTTGTGGAAAATTTCGAGAAAATTCTCTTTTATGGAAAATTTTCGATAAAATTCTCTTTTTATGGAAAATTTTCGAGAAAATTCTCTTTTTATGGAAAATTTTCGAGAAAATTTTCTTTTTATGGAAAATTTTCGAGAAAATTCTCTTTTTATGGAAAATTTTGGAGAAAATTCTCTTTTTTTTAGAAAATTTTCGAGAAAATGCTCTTTCTTATAGAAAATTTCGAGAAAATTCTCTTCTCTATAAAAAATTTTCGAGAAAATTCTCTTCTCTATAGAAAATTTTCGAGAAAATTCTCTCTCTCTATAGAAAATTTTCGAGAAAATTCTCTTCTCTATAGAAAATTTTCGAAAAAATTCTCTTCTCTATAGAAAATTTTCGAGAAAATTCTCTTCTCTATAGAAAATTTTCGAGAAAATTCTCTTCTTTATAGAAAATTTTCGAGAAAATTCTCTTCTTTATAGAAAATTTTCGAGAAAATTCTCTTCTTTATAGAAAATTTTCGAGAAATTCTCTTCTTTATAGAAAATTTTCGAGAAAATTCTCTTTTTTATAGAAAATTTTGGAAAAAATTCTCTTTTTTATAGAAAATTTTGGAAAAAATTCTCTTTTTATATAAAATTTTGGAAAAAATTCTCTTTTTGTATAAAATTTTTGAGAAAATTCACTTTTTATATAAAATTTTCGTGAAAATTCACTTTTTATAGAAAATTTTCGAGAAAATTCTCTTTTTTATAGCAAATTTTCGAAAAACTTCTCTTTTTATGGAAAATTTTCGAGAAAATTCTCTTTTTGTAGAAAATTTTCGAGAAAATTCTCTTTTTATAGAAAATTTTCGAGAAAATTCTCTTTTTTATAGCAAATTTTCGAAAAACTTCTCTTTTTATGGAAAATTTTCGAGAAAATTCTCTCTTTATAGAAATTTTTTGAGGAAATTCTCTTTTTGTAGAAATTTTTTGAGGAAATCATTTTGTAGAAATTTTTTGTGAAAATTCTCTTTTTATAGAAATTTTTAAAGAAAATTCTCTTTTTATATAAATTTTTTAAGAAAATTCTCTTTTTAAAGAAAATTTTTGAGAAAATTCTCTTTTTAAGAAAATTTTTGAGAAACTAATTTTTAATAGAACACTTTGGAGAGAAAATCTCTTATAAAGAATTTAATAAAAATGTTTTATTTTATAAGAAACATTTAGAAAATGTTCTCTTTTTATGATATTTTGCATTTATACAAAATTTTACCAACATTTTTCTTTATAAAATCTAGTTCTTTAAACACAATTCTTTATTATGTCTGTTCTATTGCATATC